TTCATTGTCAACTATAGGTCAGCTTTGCGGGTTGATATTTTAGTTGATTTTCAACTCCAGGTTGACTCCAAATGATTTGCTGTACGAAGAGAATATTGCCCATAGCAGGTCTCATTACCAATTCCTATTGGTTGTATGTGACACTTATGCGAGTATCCATGGATATATGGGGATATGCAATTTATGCTTCTATTCTTTGACATGGGCATGATCCTTTCATTTTACCGGCGTTGGTGTGCACTCCAACTGCTGGTTTTCTTCCTTGATAGGAAGATGTGGTATGCCTGTTCTAAGGTTCCATACCATTTGCCAGCTCTGAACTGGCTCCTCCTCAAATTCTGGGGTTACTTTTAGTGACTATGACCTTGAGAGTTCCTTTTTGTCCCGTTTTCACCACACGTCTCTGGTTACTTTAGGGATTTAAGGGGCCGGAGTTCTAGTCCCATTATTTTTCTCGAGGCCTCTAGACAAGATGAGGTATACCTTTGCATTCTTCGGTACTTCACCCTCCTCCGGTGCATTACATTTGGATAATGCAACTTAGTCATGCTCTCCGAATCACAAAAGTGATAGGCAGTTATCCAATTCTTATGTGTGCTTTCATACTTTCATTCGCTGGTGCTTGATTAAAGGTGCATCCATCCTTTCCTTGACCATTTTTCTTGACATTTATCATTTTAAGGGTTATTTCTCTCCCTCTAAATGACTGGAAATAATCCTTCTTATTGTCAAGGAATTTAGGCTACGTTCGTACCTCTGTTAAAAATTTTCAGTTTTTTGGAGGGAGCCCTTATGGTTCTGGGTTATGCACATGTGTTGAGTCAACACTAGTGTTCCTTTAAGTTGACAACACATTTCGAATAGTCCGGTTATTGATAATTCGCTGCCTTTGGAGCTAAGAGTCCATTCAAGTGGCGGGAATTTCAATAGTGGTGCAATGGACAATTTTTTAGTCTTATTCTTGTGGACGTCCGGTACTTAGTGCTTTTCTTAATGTGCTGATGCCAACATGTGTGATCTTGTAGGATCGATTTGGCAAGAGCGTAGTATCAATTAGACACAATTGCAGCTTTTTCGTAAGCCCAATATGTATCAGACGATCCATTAAAGGGCAAAATATGTATGCGAATTCACATGGTATGCGCGAATTCGTTCTAGAATTCATGTGGTGATCGACGTTTGGCACGCATCCGATGTTCGATGTCATGCGTATCCAGAGTGACCACAGGGTATGCAGCGGGTGCAGCTATGGCGCATGGTAGGAGTTGCATGGCGCGTGCTAACGCGGCTTGATTCGTTCAGTCCCCCAGTACAGCGGGGTTGCTAGTTGGTGCATTGTACAATATTTAGTGCGCGGCACTAGTATAATGTTGTATGATGCACGCCAATGTCTGGCACAAGCCTGGCGCGAGGCGCTCAGGCAGTGCACGTGACAAATATCTCACCATTGCGATACGACAGATGATGTGACATTGTTTGTGCTATGTTCATTTGCAAGATACTAAATTCTAAGAAAAACTGACTATGAAATAGTCTACTTTAGCCTACATTTCTTAGTGAGGACATTGATCTCGCATGCTTAGGTGATGTGTATGCTTCTCTCATCTTCTAGTTCCTACAAGGGAACTTTTCTGCGAGAGTTTTCCATTCTCAAGAGATTTGAGGTGTAATAGCTTATCTACGGGAAAAACAATATCTTTTACAATCATAACGTGTAGTTGTGAAGGTAGTTCACGTCTTTGCATAAACTGAACTTGTCTCATCTCTCTCAAGATTACACTTTGTGGTGCTTTTCTTCCACAATGTTCCTCTTTACCTTAGGCTATGCATATTGTCTATGTGAATAAAGTAAAATATCACTACTTCAAGGCAATAAGTAAAACTTTATCATATAGCAGAATGCAACATAATATTGGAAATAAAGTCTAGCCATGCAAGGCAAATCACGAAATAAATATTATGTTCTCATAGAGCTTACAAAACCATTATTCAAAATTGTTCATAATGCAACTTAGTTCACGAAAAAAAATAGGAGCATCAAATACTCAAATGGAATCAGCTAGAGTATCAAGCTCTGCTCCTGTGTGACGGCCTCTTCATTTGCTTTGTCTGCTGCAACTGTAGGGGCGTCAGGTGGAGTGGTGATGGAGAGAGTAGCCACAGTGATAGCCTCAACCATGTGTGCTTCTATGGACGCCTTGGCCTTCCTACTGGCCTGGTATGCGTCGATGACGTGTTGGGGCTCCTCGCAAATACGGCCCTAGTGGCCCCAAATGCCACACTTGTAGCATGTCTGATCCTGCTGGCCATACGGCTTGTCATTGCGGGTGGCTTGGCTTCCTTCTTGCCCTTGCCTCCCTGTGCTCCCTGGGCAGCTGGAGCTTTTCTCTCTGACTTCTCGACTGCCTTCTTCCCACCACGCTTGCCCCTCTTCCTCTGGACGGGCTTGTAGACCTTATAACTGATAACATTGACATCAAGGCCAACACTCATGCCAGGCGGCTGGGAGACAAAATTCTTGCGGAGAACCTCGTCATGGGACTCAGACAACTGCATGATGTCGATCATCTCGTCATACTCCTTGTATGATGCCTGCCTGTAGTTACGAGCACTCTGCACAGCGCTAGGGTGGAAGATGGAGAGCGTTGTCGTATCCGTAATCCGTGACAACCTTGCCGCAGAGGGAGAGGTTAGTACAGATCCGGTGCAGCGCGGAGATGGCACCGGATCTGTACTCGGAGACGCTCTTGAAGTTCGTGAACCTCTGGCGAGCCCAGTCCTGCTTGGGGTAGGATGGTGTACTTCAACTTCTCGAACCGCTTCTTGAGTGCGGTCCAAAGAGTGAGTGCGCTCCGTAATCCCATATACTCATTCTTGAGCGTGGCACAGAGGTGGTGTCGCAGGAAGTGCAGCGCCTAATCGTTCTCATCAGGGGTAGGCGCACGTTCCTGCGGGGTGCCCATCCCGATCCTCTGGCAGAGCTTCTTGGCTCCAAGAACGATCTGGACGTCAGATGCCTAGGTCAGGTAGCTCTGGCCATGCTGGGCCAGTTCAGCGAACTCCTTGTTCGTGATTCTGACATTCTGTTGCAAAACTGACAAAATATTCATATGTTACTGCCAGTGACATAGTTGCAAATATGAATGCAAGTATTTCATGATTTTTCCAATATTTATATTCATAGGGAATGCGAATAAGAAGTGCAAAATATTCAATAAATAAATACTTTGTAGAAATGCAAACAAATATTCGTAGAAAAAAGGTGCAAAAGTTGCATATATTCATATAAATACTAAAAACAAAATATTCAAAATATTCATTAACAGTAATTAATGCCTTAATAAATTTAAATTGAAATTTTATAAGACATAAAATGCTTAAATATGGAATATAAGCGACATTTGCAAAATTCAAGGGCCTATTTCTAAGTTTTCCATGCAGGGAATGGTTAGAAATGAACGTTTCCGAAATTCTAGGGTCCTATGCGCAAAAAAGTTCCATGCTGGGAGATATGCGTCTAATTTTCAGAAAATCTAGGAGGCTTTCCGCAAAATCGCTAATCTCTTTCCTTATTTCTTCTTTCTTTTTCTTCTCTCCGGAGATTTCGCGTGGCTGTCGGCGGTGGCACGCGGCTGTCGCGGCGGCGTGCGGCGGCGCCATGCGGGGTGCGGCCGGCGACAGTGCGCGTCGATGCGTCCGGTGGCGGTGCGTGGTGGCGCGCGCAGCAGCGCCATGCGGGGTGCGAATGACATCGCTGCGTGGCGGTGCGCGGCGGCGCTGTGCGGTGGTCGCGGAATCGGGCGGCGGCGCTGTGCGGGGCGCGGCCGTTGGTCAGCTCGCGGCGGCACAGGGCGGGGGTGCGGTGGCTCGCAACGGCGCCGTACGGGGCTCGCCCGGCTGTGACTCGCGGTGCTGGGTGTGGGGATGGCGGCGCGGCGGCGACTTGCGGCAGTGCACGCGGCTGCCACGGCGGCGGGCGGTGGTGCCGTGCAGGGCACTGCCGGCGGCGGCTCACAGCAGTGCACACGACGGCCGCGACTGCAGGCGGCGGCACCGTGCGGAGTGTTGCCGGCGGCGCGGTGCGACGCCATGCCGTGGCGTGGCCGTCGGCGCGACGCCGTGCGGTGGCGTGGCCGGTGACCGGTGGTGCGATGCCGTGCGGCGGCGTGTCTCCGATCCGTGCTTGCATTGGTGAGTTTCGTCTCTGCCACGATGGAGGATGCCGAGAAAACCCCAATCGTTTACATGCCGGCGACTCCAAGTCGGTGATGGCGGTTTTAGTTGGGAGTCAAAAAACGGAACGAGGAAGATGCAAGGAATTCATTTTTGCAATTCAATCTACAAGATGCAAAGAGGATTATCGAGTTTCTTACCTTTCTCCTACATTGGTCTCCGGTAGAGCTTCGTGTCTGATGACGTATACAAGATTTTGGGGTGAGACTCTCTTTACTATTCAATCCTCCAATCAACTGTACAATGAGTAGCTCATTTCTCTTTTTATATAGTGCAATCCACTATATAGAAAGTTCTGTGATGGCCCAATAAATATATTTGGGCCAGGCTTTTATGGGCCAATCCCAAATTTTTTTAACAGTTTCCAGCGTGTGTAGAGGATGCATGCACTTGTGACTTCGTGAATTCCTTGATGTACAACTTCGTTATTATTGTTATTATTGTTTACTTCGTGGCGTGTGTTGGTACGTACACATCGTATACTCTCTTAAGTAAACAATAATAACAAGTTGGCTATAATAACCTTGATGTACAACTTTGTGGTATAGAATATTAAAGGTTTACTTTGACTTCATCGCCGTGACGTTGCCAATTTAAAGAACGTACAATAATTTACCTTATTTAGAACAATTCGCATCGTACTTTCATCGAATTTTCAAAGTTCTCTCTCTCCTTTTGAAAGGAAGGCAAGAAGATTGCCTCAAATATTGATAGAACAGAATAGTTTTTCATAATTTTGTGGACCAGTTTTATTTTGAGAATTTTTTTTTCTGGCTGCGCGCTTGCCTTCTTAAGGAAGCTCCCACTGCCTGTGTTACCACACCTGAGCCAACAACGACGACCAGCTCTAGCTCGTTGTAGCAATATCTCGTTGTAGCCATTTATTTTTTTTTTCCAGCAGGATGTTCAGAGTAACACAACTTCTCAGGTATTGTATACAATATAGCCGAATTATACACACTATAGCTGAAACTGGAAAGATTTTGTTGTGATCCGGTTGTGTTGCAGAGAGACTACCAAGAGAGTTATTGGAACAAAAACAACTTCCCGTGCAGATTTAACACTAAGTTGCTTCTCCACGGTGTCCAATTTACAGAGGTTAATTTCATCTGCCTTCCATTTTAGTTCTTGGATGATCTCCTGTTTCAATCATATGTACGTTGTTTCGTGATGAGATTGAGATGTATGCACAGGTTGGCTGGTAAGGTGGCTGTCATCACCGGCGCGGCGAGCGGCATCGGCAAGGCGACGGCAGCGGAGTTCATCAAGAATGGCGCCAAGGTCATCCTCGCCGACATCCAGGACGACCTCGCCCGCTCGGTGGCCTCCGAGCTCGGCCCGGACGCCGCGTACACGCGCTGCGACGTCGCCGACGAGGCGCAGGTCGCCGCGGCCGTGGACCTCGCCGTGAGGCTGCACGGCCGCCTCGACGTGTTCCACAGCAACGCCGGCATCCCGGGGAGGATACCGCAGGACGACGCGCTGTCCGTCGACCTCGCCGGCTTCGACCGCGTGATGGCGGTGAACGCCCGCCCGGCGCTCGCGGCCATCAAGCACGCCGCGCGCGTAATGGCGCCTCGCCGCACCGGCTGCGTCATCTGCACGGCGAGCGGCGCGGGCGTCGTCCCCATGCCGGCGCTCGCCATGTACTCCGTCTCCAAGGCCACCGTCATCGCTGTGGTGCGCGCCATGGCGGAGCCGCTGGCGCGCCACGGCCTGCGGGTGAACGCCATCTCGCCGGGGGCGACGAGGACGCCGATGATGCTGAACGAGATCCCGCGCCTCGCCGTGGTGTCCCCGGGCCTGAGCGGGGAGCTGAGGAGGATGGTGGAGGAGGGCGCCAGCGACGCCGTCAAGGTGCTCGAGCCGGAGGATATCGCGAGGGCGGCGGTGTACCTGGCCTCCGACGAGGCCAGGTACGTGAACGGGCACAACATCGTCGTCGACGCCGGCTACTCGGTGCACAAAGGAGCGGAGAACTCGCCGGCGCGTTGAACATGGCTAGTAGCTGGTGCCATGCATGTATGCATGCATGTGCCTTTGTCAGCGCCGTAATAATTCTGTTATTGACGTTCTTGAAATAAAGATGATGTGGCTGTGCAGTGACGCGACAACAGTTGAAATAAAATGCTGTAACTCGACTATTCGTAGTACTCCCCGTGCTTGCCAGCGGATATATGCCACATAATAGAGAAATGATAAAATAATTTGGATTAAAATATTATAAAAATGATTTGAGAATAATAATTTAACATGTGTATGTTTACTTTTAGAAAAAAATAAATTATAGATGTAATTACTATATGTTTGCATGTTGAGTTTTGTGCTTAATAGATTGATGTGATATGCTTGTATTTAGGTTTTATGAGTGCTTATAAATACTATACTCACATGTATGTTGAGCTTTAAAATACTATCCAAACTGTTATGTAAAATTATCGAAAAATTTGACAACATTCAGCAGCATATATATACCACTTCATGAAACATTAAAAGTCTATACTCAAGTACCACATCGAGGTATAGAAAAGAAAAATCCAGCAAATAAATAGTACGATTACTATCCAATTCACACTTCAATTATGTTAGGTTGACTGAAAGGGCACCAACTAGCATGTCTGACAGTGCTATTGAATACTCCCTCCGACCCAATTTAAATGCAGGTGTGCATTTTCATGTCGAACGTTTTACCATATATTTTATTTGAAAAATTTATAAAAAAGTAAAAAAAAATAGTCACACATAAAATACTCCCTCCATCACAAAATATAAGCAATTTTAGAATAGTGCCAGGTCAAACATTTTTAATATTGACTATTAATAGAAAAAAAATAAAAAAGATCAATAATGTAAAATTGGTGTTACTAAATTTAAATTTAAGATCAATAATGTAAAATTGGTGTTACTAAATTTACTAACTTTTTTATTTAAAATATCTTACTTTTATAAATATTATTAATCAAAGTACTATTTTGAAGACTGTCAAAATCCAAAAATCCCTATATTTTGGGACGAAGGAAGTATTTTTTATGTTTTATCATCTAATAACAGTAAAAATACTAATCATAATTTTTTTTAAATAAGACGAATAGTCAAGCGTTGAACATAAATAGTGTAAAACTATTTTTTTTAAACGGAGGCAGTTCAACACTGTTGTATGTCAGAGCATGGTCGACAACGTATTTGGCAACATAACTGTTCGGAAACTTATTAATTTTTACGTCACACCTATATATTACAAAATCAATATGGCCATCGGCAAACCTGCAGCTGGCGTACTGGTAGTAGTTAGGGTCAAAACCATGATCAGTTCAGTCAGCATCACCGACGATATGATGCGACTAATATAATTGTATGTACAAGCTGTGTGACCGCACCGAATAGTTGTTTATAGCACGTTGCTGCAGCACGAAATCCTCGTGCTTGAACACCCTGAAATCCAATAATGTTTTGATAATATATTTTATTTCTTTTATGCAGTAGTTGACAGTAAAAATTTGTACTTAACAACCGTCAACCCCTACTAAACAACCTATTATGATCGACATAACAAGGGTCACCATATACATCTATAGTAGTCGTGTCATGTCTAATATTGAACCTAAGATCACCAAAAATTCTAACGTTACATAAGTTGTAAAATGTCATAGCATCCATCTTTTAAGCACGTGCTTGTTACATTTCCCGCAATGCCTTGGTGATACACCTCATGCAGATACTAATATTTGTGAAGCCAAAGCACGGCCCAATTGCATACACCTGGTCCTTGGTTGAGTTGGTCATAACCTTGGCAAACAAAGTGTCACTTGCTGACAATTTCAGTGTTAGTGTCCTCAATAAAAGGTCCATGATTTTTCTGTATATGTTGTTTGATATAATGATATGTAGTTTTTGTCTACATAAGTCAAACCCCATAATTCTATAGATAATCATGAGGCAAATCCTACCAACAACAGAAATCTAAGAATATAGATTGCAGTTGCCATTGGTATAAGCGGTTGTCACGTAAATTTAAAATAATAATTTGGATAATGTCTTTATCCCTCTTCATGTCACATGTAGTTTTCATGTGATAATAATTTCACTATTTTGTCTTATCAGGAAATATTTCCATCTTATTTCAATATTTTACTGTTCAAGATAGCTAGAGGATGTAAAGATGATGCTTATAACTATGTGGGGGCACAGAACGGACATGGTTTATTCCTTTGTTAGGATTCATTGCCAAAGTCATAAAAAATTAGTATACAAATACAATATAAGACTTGTTTTATCAGATGACTAGAAACAATAACAATACACAAATACAAATATAAGTACAAATGCAAATACTTCTTTGTCAAAAATGGAATATTTTCCAATAGGCAGTGGAGCAAGGGAAATAATGTATTCATTTGTTGTTTCATAGAATGATAAGGGTAAAGGATTACAACTGGCCATGTTTATGTAGAAAATTATGTCAAACCTAATGACATGTTTCTTGGAACATTATTAATAAATTTTCTAGCATTTTGCAATATTTTTTTCTCTCAATGAAGATCATTCTAATGTTTTAGATTAAATCAAAGATGTTCTTCTAGCTAGGAGAAACAAGTGTTTTACTTCTTGCTTCTAAATATCACTGAAGTAGTACATAGAATCCAAAATAAGCTAAATACAGTCAATGTAGCATCTGTTCTTTGAGAGATAATAGTGCTAGTATATTTTAACAGCATGTGGCAATCAGATAACAAGGATAACAGATCTGCACATAGAGAATCCGATTGGCGACTGAGTGACTAACCAAGTGTTATTCATGCAAATCCTATGATAGATTTGTACTTATTCCTGGATTTATAGGCGTTTCTACTACGTAGGTCTTATTGTTGTTAAAACTTAACTATAAGCTTGAATGACAATATATATATTTAAAATGATAGACTTTATGGTGCAAGCCAAGGTGATCATTGATAGACATATGTATCTCAGTGGCCACTATCGTTTTGGAACTGAAAAGTGCGGCGCTGTTCTTAAGCCTCAGCGTGAATGAAGGATAATTACCCAAGTTAATCACCCGAATAATTAATGACCCTCAATGTTCTTGCTTTTTTTTACGTTTTTCACATGAGACATGTTCTTCATCCCCAATTCCCCATCACCCTAGTATTATCAGAGCCATTAGCAAATTAATTGGATTGGAATCGTAATCTAAACATGGTGTACACGGGAACAGCGTCGTGCGCCGTTCAGCCCGTGGAAAAGAAAAATCTCACTTTTTTTCCATGAAAAATAGAGAGGTAATAAAGGATAAGAACAAAGAGGGAAAAAGACAAATGATAAACAAAACGAACATCAAGTTTTTTTTTAACAAATTGAGATGTACTAGAAATAATGCACTTGCGTTGCAACAGGAAAAAAAATATGAGCAAGTTGAGATGTACTAGAAATAATGCACTTGCGTTGGAACAGGAAAAAAAATACGAGCAAGTTGTTCCTATTGACTTTTCAGGTGATCGCGTGTATGCGTTTGTGATTGACCCAACGGCATTACATTCTAATTTGAGGTAGGATCTAGTGTTAGAGTCGTTGAAGAGGCAATCACATAAATGTGACCGGATGCCACCAAACTGAGTATGCAAGATGTGGAGGCGGATGACGCACAACGTTGACAAGAGTGACACAACAGCGGACGAAAAACGATTGTGACAATGGGAAAAATTGGTATTTTTTAAGTAGGAATAGATATAGGTTATATTAGATAGATATGGTGTGGCCATACTACTAACCGAGTTCAAATTGTTCTCCCATCATCATCCTATAGATCGATCAAGTGCTAATGTAGCTATATTTCATGCAACCAATTAAGGGATCAGAATAAATCGGTGTGCATTCGGTATCAGTATAGGGAGCCCCGACCACACACTCTCACTCTTGGTCATCTTGTTGTTGTTTTTAGACATGGACGCTGGAGGTGAAGTGCCTAGCGACATTTACTTTGCAGTGAATGTTGGAGCTTTCAGGGATGATTCTTTCTAGGGTGACTTTAGTCGGTTGCCTGTTTTGTTTGGTAGATGAGCATACCAAAAAACTTATGTATCTTACATCTATTTTTGCTGCATTTATACTCTTTTATTTGACCGATTGGCCCAACTATCATGTATGTCATGATAATCACTTACCTATTTGTATGACCTGTATGTTGTATGGATGTGATAATAATATTGTGCATGCATGTACTAGTCACTGATCATGGGACATATTATATGCCCTAGCTATGCAGAAATTCATGTCACCGGGTGCTGACATGCAATTATGTACAGTTTACCTACTTTCATAATAATCAATTTTACGAGCCGATCAACATACATATTTAATCTATTTGTACTTTTATTTATCATTCATTGGTTAGAAAATTATTTATGCTGAAAATATTACAACGCGTCCTTTATTGCCATTGTCGGTGATTTGGGCACGGGGGTACGCACAATAGAGGGAAAGAATCCTTTCATCTAGCCACGTGGCCGTGCGGCCTGCTTCCCCCTCCCCTCGGGGGAGGTCGGGTAGTCATCAAGTGGCCAAGGGGCCTCGGGGTGCCCCGTCGCACCCCTCGGGCCCTTGGAGCGCGCCGCGCCGAGGCCCTCACTCGGCTGCCACGTGGCGGTCGAGTGGGCGGAGGATGGGACGCTGCCAAGCGCTTTAATGAGCGGCGCCCCAACCGTCCCTCGCCGCGTTTAATGCGGCGTGGGCAGGCATGTGGCGCCGACCAATTGGCGTGTGTCAATCGGCCTTGACCGGCCTATGGCCGGTCACAGGTGGATGGGACGGGTGGCAGCGCACCCACGTCCCGCCCTATGTCAAGCGAAGTGGGGGCAGGTATGCCCCGTCCCATCGGCGTGGAGCCAAGCGTGCCCCCTGTGCATATGAATCCACAAAAGTCTCCATGAAATTAAGAGGGAATGACAGGGATGTCTCCCATGGGCGGAGGACGGCGCTGGGACCCATTAGGGGGTTGAACGACTGCCTTGCTTCTGGTTGAAGGCATGGACGGTGGCTTGACCCAGGTTTTGTGGGCCCCCCCTCCAATGATGAATTATGTAAAGACGGTGCATGTGGTATCCCCTTGAACTATAAAAGGAGGACCTTGCCCACCGAGAAAAGGGACGACATTTGAGAAGCTTCAGTCTAGGGTTGGAGCTCCCTTGTAACACACAAGCTTAATTCCACACACAGGAGTAGGGTGTTACCCTTCCTGGCGGCCCGAACCTATATAATCCCTTGTCTCTCACTCGCTTGCAAACCACCTCGTTAGCTAGATCCCCGGCGGAGACACTAGTAGGAAATCATCCATCTATGACGTTTTGCTCATGACGTTGTATAATTTCGTCATTGAATACAGCATATCTATGACGAAATTTCATGTTTCGTCATGGATCACTCATGGCGGAGGGTAGACATCGAAACTCCATGACGAAATTTAAAATGGTCTCATAAAACAATAGATAATTTCGTCACAAAATGGTGCGCACCATTCATGTAACACACTTATGACGCTCCTTTATTAATACAATATGCTGAAATATATTTCGTCAGTTGTAAGTAAATCTCTATTCTGCTGTTGGTCCCACCTTGCATATGTGGCTATCTAGGTTGTCATTGGACCCCACATTGTATACGTGGCAATCCAGATTGTTATTGGACCCCACATTGTATATGCAGCACAGGTGCGTTTTCGGGCCAGCAGATGCTTTGTGCAGTCCACGTGAATTTGTGCAGCCCATGTGTCAATCTGTGCAGCCCATGTGAACTTTTTTTTCGCAGCCCAAATTTGTGCAGTCCGTGAATTTGTGCAGCCCATGTGTGAATCTGTGCAGCCCATGTGAACTCTTTTTTCTAAAAAAAATGCTGCAGCACTTGGGGGTCGAACCCACGACTTGTGACTAACCATAATTCTAGCTTAACCACTACGCTGCAAGGAGCTTTCATGCTGATGATGTTTTACTTTTAGTTTTCCTTTCAATTCTCGAACACAAGAATGATTGAATGCTTTATGCGGGCGACCTAGTGGTTTGGTCAGGGAGGGAGGGGGGCGGTGGCGCAGGGTTTGGTCACAGCCAGGGAGGGAGGGTGGCGGCGGCGCAGGCGGAGCTCAGTGGGGGCGGATCCTAGCCACCGGGACGGTGCAGAGGAGGAGGTTTCTTATCCCACCGGTGCAGGGAAGGGCGGCTCCACAGGCTGGCCGGCATCGTGATGTGGAGCATCGTGGTGGGTGGCGGCGCGGTGAAGTGATCTTGGTCGGTGGGGCTGCGGAGGGATCCCAGTCGGCGCGGGGGATCCTCGACGACTGAGACGGATCGGCTGCTCCTCGCCCACCGTCTTATCCTAGCACCTCCTCTCTCAATCCTATCGTCAGCGCGCACAGCCCATCACCAACGCCGTTCAGTAGATATAAGGTATGATTTTCCATAAGTACATTACTCTAAGTATGAAATGCAAGTTCAGCTATGAAAGATTATGCTTTGTGTTGTATGAACAGAGAAACAAGTCAGAGTATTATGAACAAATCAACATGGTTTAAGTCATGTAGCAACCAGCTGTTCCATCTAATGTTTTAGAAAATATTCTGTCCTAAAAAATGGATTAGCTTTGTTTGCCTAATTGCTTTTTTTAACATGCCAAAGCAGATGGACATAACTTGGATACATGGGAGACAATTCACACCTGCATACATGGAGGGAGTGAAACAGTTCATGGAATTTGTTGGACAAAGATTTGATGAACACGTTGACATACCATGCCCATGCTGTAGGTGTCTTAACCACACTTCACTGCCTCAGCAAGAAATGCATGACCATATACATATTTTTGGGATGTCATCAACATACACCCGGTGGATTTATCATGGAGAATTAGTTGATACAGAAGATGTCGAATATTTGGAACAGGTACATGAAACTAACCATAATGAAGGGACAGATGTGGGCGGGTATGAACCCGAGGATGACAATGGAGTTCCAGAGTTAATAGGTGAACTATACACTGCGGCAGGGGAAGATGGACAGCCACCAAGGTTTGCTAGAATTCTTGAAGATGCGAAGCAGGTACTTTGCCCAGGATCTAACCATTCAAGATTTTCCTTTCTTGTGAGGCTGCTCCATATCAAGTCATATTATCGAATCAGCAATACAGCTTTCACTGAATTATTGAAGTTGTTGTCCTCGGCATTCCCTCAATGTCAATTACCAAAATCTTATGATGAGGCAAAGAAATATCTTCGTGAATTGGGCCTTGGATATGTGTCGATCCATGTGTGCAAGAATAATTGTGTGCTATTTCGGAAGGAATATGCCAATATGGATCTATGCCCAATATGTGGTGAATCCAGATGGGAAGATGGGGTTGGCGACAGGAAGGTTCCTCGCAAAGTTTTGAGGCATTTTCCACTTATCCCAAGGTTAAAGAGGATATTTGCATCAAAACGAACAGCTGAAGACACACAGTGGCACAAAATCAAGCGGAAGCCAGTGGATAATGAAATGAGCCATGCAGCAGATGGGGAGGCTTGGAAGGACTTCGACAGAAAGTATCGAACTTTCGCAGAAGATGCAAGGAATATGAGGCTTGCCATAGCTACAGATGGATTCAATCCATTTGGCAAGGTGAGCAATTCGTATAGCATGTGGCCTGCCCTTGTTATGCCTTTGAATCTACCACCATGGGAATCTGTCGATCCATCGAACTGCATTATGTCATTACTGATCCCAGGTCCAACATCTCCAGGAAAGGATTTTGATTTATTCTTGGAGCCTCTGATAGAAGAATTGCTTGAATTATGGATAGGTGTTAGTACTTATGATGCATTCAGTGCTAGAAAGTTCAATCTTCGTGCCGCCATGCTATGGTGCATACATGATTATCCAGCTCTAAGCACCTTGTCAGGGCGAACTACAAAAGGTTATTATGCATGCATTCATTGTGACAAAAATTCGTTGTCACGAGCACTAAGAAATAAGATAGGCTACTTTGGCCACCGTTGTTTCCTTCCAAGGACACACGCTTGGCGAAGAAGCCATGCTTTTGATGGACACCATGAAAACCAGGTTGAGCCAGGAAAATTCAGCACAGATGAGGTCCTCGAGCAGTTAGAGAAGGTGAAAGATGTTAGACCGGGTAAGCATGATACAAGTAAGAAAAGAAAACGTGGAGAGGATGAAGGGCCACTAATTTATAGCCGCAAAGTAAGTCTGTGCAAGCTCCCATATTGGAAAGATTTGTTGCTGCCACAAAATCTTGATGTGATGCACATTGAGAAAAACATATGTGACAACATTTTGGGCACATTGCTCAAAATCGAGGGCAAGACAAAGGACACAGTCAATTCGAGGATAGATTTGCATGATATGAACATAAGACATAACTTGCACTTACAGCAGGATGGCAACTCAGTTCGCATCCCACAAGCTCGCTATGTCTTGAAGAAGGAACAAAGAATTGAGTTTTGTAACTTCCTCAAAGGTGTCAAGTATCCACATGGATATGCAGCCAACCTAGCAAGATGCATAAGTTCAGATGGTTCCAAGGTGCAGGGGCTCAAAACTCATGACTGCCATGTCCTTCTCCAAAGAATTATACCTGCCGGCATAAGAGGATTTGTGGACAAGGATATATACGAAGCAATTGCAGAGCTTGGTAACTTCTTCAGGGAATTGTGTAGTAGAAATCTAAGGATAGATGTCCTCAAACGACTGAAAAAAGACATCCCGCTGATCCTATGCAAACTTGAGAAAATTTTTCCTCTAGCCTTCTTTGACGTGATGGTGCACTTGGCCGTACATCTACCTGATGAGGCACTACTTAGAGGTCCTGTACAATATGGATGGATGTACCCAATAGAAAGATGACTTGGCACCTTTAAGAATTCCATGCGGAACAGGGCTAGGCCTGAAGGATCAATTGCTGAGGCCTATGTAGCAAGTGACACCTTGACATTTTGTTCAAGGTACATGGAGGATGTTGACACTAGATTTAATCGGGACGCCCGTCATGGGGATGGGCCATTGGATGGTAACAGCTCTGTTTTTATGCATGATGTTAAACTCATAGGATCCACTAGGATACAGTACATGGAGGATGAAATCATGGATAAGCTAGTTTGGTATGTGCTAAATAACTGTGAGGAGGTTCAACCATATTTGGAGTAAGCACCATTTATGTAGGTTTATTTCACATGTATTGTATTAAATATAATATTTTCCTAATTGTTGAGTCATAATATGCTACAGCATGCATAGAGAAGAGTTGGAGAAAGAAGATGCACATGATGTTGACAGAAGACTTGAAAAAGGATTTGCTAGGTGGTTTAAGACTCATGTAAGTGACACACACTTACAAAAATATCATTTTTTGGTGATGAAATTTCAAATTGGGAATAACATGTGTATTTTTCTTGTATATATATATATATATATATATATATATATATATATATATATATATATATATATATATATATATCAGATCAGGAAGCTGAGGAAAGAAAATCCAGGGGTGGTCAGTGAAGCACTATTTGCATTGTCATGTGGTCCTGATCTCCGAGTAAAGAGTTGTGCATCTTGCATTGTCAACGGAGTCAGGTATAGCACTGTTGACCGTGAGAAATACCTCCAAACGCAGAATAGTGGTGTAATGGTTGATGGTACACATGAAGGGGATAACATTGAATTTTATGGTGTCCTTAGGGAGATTCTTGAGTTGCAGTATAACTCTGATCTAGATATCTATCGATCGGTGGTTCTTTTCCGTTGTGATTGGTTCAATCAAGTTGGCAAGACAAGAGGAGTTAGGGATGACGGGCATTTCAAATCCATCAACATCCAATCATTTTGGTACAAGGATGACCCTTTCATTTTAGCAACTCAATCGAAGAAGATATTTTACTTGCAGGACACCTCTTTGGGCAACGAATGGCGAATTGTGCAGAAATTCGAACATAGGAACATGTATAATGTGTCTGAAAAAGATGACCACATTTTTGATGTACACCAAGATGATAATTGTTCTGATACAGAACATGAAGTGCATGAAGGTAATGCTGATGAGGATCTAGACCATTTGCAGGAAGATGGAGAAGTTACTATTATTGAAGCTAATTTAGAAGACCTTAACAACCAAGCTAACTTGACTGAAGACAGTAGGGATGATGCAGATGAAGATGACACAATATTGCAGTACTGTAGTGACATTGGCAATGGGAACGCTGAAGATGACATGCCGGAAGACACCGATGATGATTAAATTATATCTTGAGTTGTGTCATCTATCTGATATGTCATATGTAATTGGGATGAGCTATAAACTCATTTATTTTGTGTTATGTAACTGAGATGTCACAACTGATTTATTCTGTGAACTCATTTGCCATTGTATATCTGAAACACATCGAGATTCTGAGCTAGCAATTTTAAGAACAGAGTTGTTACCAGCAATGATTTGCATTTATTTGATTTCTTTCCCAGGTTCATGGTGCTAACTCATATTCCTAACAATATGTGAAGCAGTTGGGTCAAAAATTTCAGGAGAAGAGAAAATATTTTACTTCTGTTTTTTGGGTAATCCAGTAAGTTTCCTGGTGAAACAGTATGCAAAGTGATGTACATATATATTTGTTCCAAGTGACATACTGCATATCAGTCTAAAACTGTACAGACCATGACATTTCAAGCAGCAAAAACCAATTTCAATCTGTACAAACACAACTTACACTTCAAGCATCTGTTCAAAGCATTACACTTTTTTCTTAATTGTCATATTCAATTGACATAAAAAAATGACACAAATATGGTCTTCACATGTCACGACCGGAATTAACCCAACGGGCGTTCCTTTCGTGCGTGTATTATTCCTTGTCCCAGGAGGCAAGGTACACCAAGAGTTGATACAATTCAGAGTTTAACAAGCGGAAGCGTAAATAGATAATTTATTACATGGGCGACGAAGGCCCAGCACACACAAAGACAAACGAGAAACAACGGAAGACTAGGGCGACGACCACAGGCGCTTGACGGCAGGCACGAGCTAGACACCAAAGCCTTCATCATCTAGGGGCTCCTCTTCTGGGTTGGGAAAAAATTGAGCAAGACTGAGTACAACCACCGTACTCAACAAGACACACCCACAAGTGCATAATAAATGCAAGGGAGTACAAGGGAGTTATAATATAAAGGGTTAGGGTTGCAGTAAACAGCATTTAAAGATGCTTAGTTGCTCAAAGCTATTTTGTAAACACGATTCTAGAACTATGCAATATTATTTATCAAGGCCGTGAACCCACACGAATCTGCCTTAACCCAAGGCCTACGATGATTCAGACCGAACCGGCAACCCGACCCTGGGTCCCAGCTCGTCCCAAGCCATCCCAGGCCAACCATTCCACATTTTAGTTGTTAAGCAGGTTTTAAGAATTAAAACACTAACTTGGGTACATTGCTCGGCTTGCCCATAACCGAGGGCGCGGCTATTCGAATAGATTATACTCTGATCAGAGGTGTACATCTTTACCCACAAGACACATCTTCCTCACGTACAACCACGTGCCACATACCACCACGGTATACAGACGAAAGACGTGACATAGTTTCCAACCCATCCTAGCCATAGACAAGAGTACCGACCCAATCCCACCTACGGCCGGAACCCCCGGGACAGGCAGGCAGGACTGAGCCCCTAGCAGCAGGACACCGGCCCTGTGCCACGACATCTCGACTACCGGGCCGCAGCTCGTGTAGCCTTCATTTGCCCTGGAGATGTCCATCGACCCCCGACTTCGTCCATCTCCATCCGTGTACTTTTGTTTATAACCAGACTGAGCCACAAACTAAGCCTTACCCACTAGACATGTGGAAGTACGGTAGTGCTTTGCAACAGAGGCCCGAAGACCGGTCCTTATATGGCCGAGGTGCTACTATCAAAACCATGCACCCCGAGCCCAGCCTAAAACCATTTTGGGGATTTTGAATAGAGGGGGCGGTGTGAATCCAATTCCACAATACTCCAACAATTCCAAAGTGTCCAGGTGATATGAATATCCCAAAGTCTAGAGTTGTAAAACCGCCTAATGTTACCTAATTAAATAGCGAAGCATCTACCTAACATCATACTAGAGGTACCATGAGTAGAGTGTCCACTAGTTGGGGTTTTGTTTAATCTAGGGTGAACAAGGAAATAATAACAATAACAATAATAAGGTCATAACAAAGGTAAATAGGCATGGCTAAATAAAACAGTGATAACGCGGGAATTTAAATAAAGCGATAATGCAATAATTTAAATCAACATAATTTTATAAACCGGGATTCAATATGTTCAAAGATGATGTGAACATATTCCGAGTTCAACCTCCACGAAGAGCAGATCTTCCGAAGCTGCAGCGTCTACATGACCAACGGAAAAGAAAAGGCTTTTACTCTAATAAACTCCATATAACAAGCAGAAACAAAGCACAAAAATGGGTTCTTGACTTCTTAAGGAAAAATTAGAGACTTGAACGGTCCAATTCCGAGTTCAAATGGCCAAGTTATGGCCATTTGAAGGTTATATGCTCTTTAAATGAATATTTGCGAATTTCTTCATTTAAATTTTAATTTAAAATTTGGATTTATTGCGTCAGCCGAGGGGAGGGGCGCGCGGACCGGGTCCACGGGAGTAGGGCCCACGCGGCAGCCTCACGGTCCACGGTGGACCGGGTGCACCCGGCTCACACCGGCCGGCGCCGTGGGTCCCACGCGTCAGCCGCACCCGAGGGCGCGGGCGGCTGACGGCCGGGCCCCACATGGCAGCCGCGGGGCGCGCCCGAAGGCGGCCACGCCGGCACAGCCGACGGGAGGCGGCGCACCCGCGCCCCGATGGTCGCCGCCGGCGACCACCGGCGCGGCGGAGCGGCGCCCGAGAGAGGGGAGGGAAGGGGGAAACGAATCGGCGGTCCACAGCTCACCCCGGGTCGACGGCGACGACGGGAACGGCGACCGGAGCGGAGGAAGGCGGCGGCGCGGCTCGGGTAGACGGGGACGGCGGCGTTCCGGCGGTCGGCGGGCGAAACGGAGGGGTGGACGAGGTCGGCAAGGTTGCGGCGAAACCAAAGGAGGCGGCGCCGAAGCGGGAGAAGGTCCGGGGCGACGACGGCGGCGGACTGGAGCTCGGCGGTGACGGCGGAGAGAGAGAGCGACGGCGCGAGCTCGATTCCGGCGGAGAGAGAGAGCGGCGAGTGGCGGAAACGGTGGAGGGAGGCACGGGGAGTGTTTATATAGGGTTGGGAGTGAGAGAGGGCGGCCGGATGAGGGGGGAACGGGCGCGGAAGATCCGGCCGCCATTGATGCGCCGGCGAGGTTTAGGGGGAAAGATTCCGAACGAATCCGAGGGAGAGAGGGAGGGAAAAAATGGGGGGAAAGAGGGAGGGAATCACGGGGAATATTTCCCCCCTCTTGATTGCACGCGGGGCGGACGGGAGCGGCGGGATTTGCGGCGGCGGCGTCGCTAGGGCACGGGCGAGGCGGCGGGAGCGGCGGGAGGAAGGGGATGACGGGTGGGCCCCACCCGTCAGCGAGGGTGGCGGGCGGGCCCGCCCGTCAGCGGCGCGCGCGCGGGGAGGAGGCCGAATGGGCCGCGGGGAGGAGGAGAGAGAGGGAAGGAGATGGGCCGAGCCGGCCCAAGAGGGGGAGGGGGGGAAAAGACTTTTTAGGATTTTTCTTTTTATAAAATCATTTTAACTTTGTTTATTTCTTAATAATTATTATTTGTGCTCTGAAAATTCCACTAAAATTTATTTACGCATTTTAGGCTTTTAGGAAATATACAAAAATCCTCCAAGCCTTATTTGACTTTTAACTTTGCACATTTTAATTGTGGGAGGCTTTCAAAAGGATTTTAATTATTCTAGGCATAATTTCGAGGATGTATTTTAGAGTCATTTTGGGACGCGACATCACATTTTCAAAATAACACAATAATCAGCCATAAGTTTATTCACATTCACGATCTCAATCTGAATTCACCAAGCTGTACAAAGAAGTATCATTTCTTCTCAAGCTACTGTTGTCGCCCACATCCAGGAAGCAAGCAGCATAAGCACCAGAAGCTTGCTACTCGATCATGGCCAGCACCAGGTCCTCTTCACCAGCAGCGCTGGGAGCATCGGCCTTGGAGATGCGGCACCTGGACCAGCTACTACTGTGGCGATGCGGTCGGAGTCGGAGACGGGATGCGGCCGCAGGTGTGGTGACGCGGCGGCCGCGCTCCATCGGCAGCAGATGGCGTGGAGGCGGAAGAATGTGTCCGGCGGGAGGCGTGCCAGGACGCGCTCCAGCACGCCGTCGTGGAGGTCCCCAGCCCACGCGTCGGCGGGCTCCTGCGCTTCCTGCTAATTCTCACCGCCATGGAGGAGGAAGCTCTTTTTTTTTTGTTACGATTTGGTTTGGTTTGGATCTGAATCCGTTGTTATATGTGTGTTGATTTACGATTGTACCCTCGTTATATGTCAGTTCTACCGATAAGAATGAGGGGTAAGTCGGTCCAAACCACCCGGTCCATTCTATTAAAACCGGCCGGTCCAACATTTTTCCTACAAACACTGACCGGTTCACCCAGTTTAAAGTGAACATAAAATTTTTAAAATTCAATTTTCAATTGGACCTATATACTCCCTCCGTCCCATAAAAAACCAACTTCTGACTATAAATCTGGACGCAACATGTGTCCAGGTTCATAGCCAGAAGTTGATTTTTTTATGGGACGGAGGGAGTATCCATGAATGGTAAACTGAGACGATTTTATCACCTGCCTGGCTCAAATCCTCCGTCGCCGATCATCCTCCAGCTTGGCTTTAGATCCACTGGCAACGCCACCGAGGCTGGAACCAGGTTCTTGCATTCCACGGTGTCGATGGTGAATGGCGAGGTGAGCAACCACGAGGATGACATGGAGGTCTCGATGACATGGGAGACGACGACCGCGCCCCTGTGGTAGACGTCCACAGCAGAGACGAGTCCCGGTTAGTAGCACCCTTCCCTATCACTGATCATATCCATCGAGTGCAGCGGCGGCGGCTCCCACGCACGGGAAAGGGAAAGCGTCGGCAAATTTCGCGACGTGGATAGGGAGTAGATGGAAAACGCGACATAGAAGAGCTGACACCAATACTATAGGTGTTGGTTTTCTTTTTTTTTAAAAAAAAACCAACACCTTTAATTTGTCATAGGTGCCAATTAATTAAAAAAAGACGCCTATAATATATTATAGGTGCT